TATTTAATAGGAGGAATGTCTGCGTTAAATATGAGGTGGACCAGGACTGGTTTAAGGAGTTGATTGATCCGGCTAAAATGATGTTGGAGGAGGTATGTATATGTTTGTCTTGTAATATCTTAACGTATAAAAATGAATTGATGGATGATGGTTGGTTTGATTTTCTAAAACAACACGTGAATGCATACTTGGGGATTATGCAAATCAATCCACTATTTTTGGGGTTCAAGCCACAGGACAAGATGTTGGGCACTTATACCATCGTGCCGACTACTTTTTTTGTGAGATTATTTTAATCCTTTCTCTTTTCCTTGTCATTCCAATTTTATTAATAATTATATAATTTACATTGTTATTTATTATTTTATTGTATTTTATATAGTGGATTCTGGGGGAATTGGAGAAGGATGTTGAAAAGGGGTTAGTGGACCCGGACTCGGACAACCTCAAATCATTGATTTGCTGTGCGAATGAGGGGGTCAGCGATTGGGGGAATCCATGTATATGGAGGACGATTGAATCTGTAAGTTTTCAATGATTCCGAATCAATTAATATTGCAATCTTTCCTAAAAAATTAGTGAATTTTTCACAACTCAATGCAACAGATTATTGGAGTTGCGAATTTGTCGGAGCACTACGTAGTTTTCCAGATCCTTTTACTCGAGGGGACGATATGTGTGTTTGACCCCCTACGGCATACATATCAAAAAAGGCGGACAAGCACATTCGCGAATCTCGCGTCAAAGCACTAAAAAAAATCCAAAATCTAATTTCACTGATTGCGACGTATGCGGGAGTAGAGAGGGTCAGCAAAAAGTTCGTTTTGAAAATCATGAACCTCAAAAATACTATCTTGCAAGATGATAGAATTTCTTGTGGTGTATGCGTTGTGGAGATGGTACAAACTTTGCTAACAGGGAGGAAGCCCTTAGACAAGTCTAACCAGCAGTGGGTTACGGACATGAGCGCAAACAAATTTTTCAGTTTAGTACAGATCCAGAAACAATTACCGCCCAAGTTCTTTAATGACTCATGTAATACATATTTTTTTTTTTCATTTTATTATATTTTTGTTATTTGTTGTATGTATGTGGCTATTCTCATACCTGAAAGAAAAAAATTAAACTAAATTAAACGATGAAGGATGAAAGAAATAAAAAATAAACTTTCGAGTAGAAGTGCGAAGGGGGTATGTGAGAAATATGTGGCAATTCGCATAACTAAAAGATGAAAAGCAAAGTTTGTACCATCTCCACAACGCATACACCACAAGAAATTCTATCATCTTGCAAGATAGTATTTTTGAGGTTCATGATTTTCAAAACGAACTTTTTGTTGACCCTCTCTACTCCCGCATACGTCGCAATCAGTGAAATTAGATTTTGGATTTTTTTTAGTGCTTTGACGCGAGATTCGCGAATGTGCTTGTCCGCCTTTTTTGATATGTATGCCGTAGGGGGTCAAACACACATATCGTCCCCTCGAGTAAAAGGATCTGGAAAACTACGTAGTGCTCCGACAAATTCGCAACTCCAATAATCTGTTGCATTGAGTTGTGAAAAATTCACTAATTTTTCAGGAAAGATTGCAATATTAAAAAAAAATAAAAAATAAACTTTCGAGTAGAAGTGCGAAGGGGGTATGCGAGCAATATGCGGCAATTCGCATACCCCTTCGCATAACTGAAATAACTGAAAGATGAAAGAAATAAAAAAAAAACTTTCGAGTAGAAGTGCGAAGGGGTATGCGAGCAATATGCGGCAATTCGCATACCCTCTCGCATAACTGAAAGATGAAATAAATAAAAAAAACTTTCGAGTAGAAGCGCGAAGGGGGTATGCGAGCAATATTCGGTAATTCGCATACCCCCTCGCATAAAGTCATAACTGAAAAATGAAAGAAATAAAAAATATACTTTCGAGTAGAAGTGCGAAGGGGGTATGCGAGCAATATGCGGCAATTCGCATACCCCCTCGCACAACTGAAAGATGAAAGAAATACGAAAAAAACTTATTATGCACCAACTCTGCGAATAATATGCGACGCTTGTATGTCGCAGTTGTATCGCAGAATAATTTTTTCGACTAATAGTCGCAGATTCATTCGCGTAACAAGAATAATTATTTAATGGGCGACGGACCGAATCGTACATCGAATTTCCACATATTCGTCGCAGAACAGTCGCATACTTTTTAATTCATAATTTTCTCGTCCATGCTAATACCGGTCGTCTATCTATCGCCTAGTCCATCGCATATGTCTTCGTACTTTCTGGGTTGAAAAACTTAGCTTTTTATTGGACGGTGTGAAAAACATAGCAGGACTTCAAAACGGGATGAAAATAGCTATTTTCACTTTGAATTAATATATAAGGGGATGTGTCATCATCCCTTGTGTTTTACGATTTCATGTGTCAATTTCTGTAGGTTTAGAGTGCTCATCCAGATTAAGTAATTTTGGTCTTCTAGATAACTTTTAAAATCATATTACTTGAATTTAATTATAAAATATTCCCAAATTTTTAATAAATTTGTTATGTTTGTAATCTGTTTTTCGTGTATGGTGTATTAATAACCATTTTTTATTATTTTGAATTTGATTCATATTATTTATATGTACGGGTGTAATTTGAAATAATAATGCAACTTTGAAGAAATAATTGGATAAAATAAAATTATCTCTCTCTCTCTCTCTATATATATATATATATAAGATATGGTTCAAATGAGAACCAAGTCGTAATGTAAGAACCGTGAGAACAGCTATTTATACTTTTGAATAGCGGTATAATTGATTGTGTTTGGTGATATTTTCAACAATGATACATTTTATTAAAAATAACTACATAATTTATATTATAATTTGTGAAAATGATAGCACCATATAATATGAAAAATAACATCAAATAAGGTTCTCGCATCATACACAATTAAAAATAAGATCAAATACGGTCCTCACACCATGGCTAGTATAACGTTACCAATTTTTGTGCTTCATAATCTTATTAATATTTTTGTTTTCATTTCTTCCGAGCAATTTAATGTACCTTTTACATTTTACTACTCTTAAAAAACTTTTACAAAAATATGATATTAGAAATAAATCATATATAAACAATTCATAAATTAGTCATAAAGAAAAAAAAATACAATTTAAACTAATGGAAAACATAAATCACAAATCAACCATTTATAAACAGTAAAAGTTAGTTTATTTCCTAATTCCTACCTAAAAAATTCATAAATGTGAAAATAAAAACAATGGGTGAACAGCCAGCTAGCGCCCTAGCGCGCGCCAGCGCCGCTACTCCTGCTAGCGGGCGACAGATAAGCACGGCTGCACGCCCTTAGCGCCGCTTCCCCTGCTAGCGTGCGGTAGAACCCCCAGGCCACCCGCCTTAGCGCCGCTAGCTTGCGCCCTAGCGCCGGGCTTGGGAGCGGGCAGATTTTTTTTTTTTTTCGTTTTTTCTTTTTTTCTCGGTTTGGCTCGGTTTTTTGAGCCCTATAAATTAGAACTCGTCTCCAGACCTAAGGGAGACTTCCCAACTCGTGTTTTTCGAATTTCTCACCCTAGAACTTAGATTGGGATCGTGCTCTTCATCTCAATTTTCTTCTTTAATTTTTCCGATTAAGCTTGTTCATTGGATTCGACTATCAGTTCTCTATTAATCGTAAGTTTTTCTTTTCATTTAATCCATGAATATGAATGTTTGGGTTGTTGTGAATGTTTGTGTTGAATTCAATATGAGTAGCTAATTCGATTTGCTAGGGATAGGGGATTGTGTTTTGATCTCGTTTGTGATTATCGTGCTTGTCGATTGTTCAATTTATGCGAGTTGATCTTAACTAGGGTTTTCAATTTTCTTGCTTGAATGTTGAGAATTGAAGGGTGACACTTCAATCTCCAATTGATTTTTAATTAAATTTGATTCGTTCTTGTGGGACTTTGTTCATTCTAACTAATTATTTGATTAATCACGGTTTAGTCTAATTTAATTGGCTCTTAGAACCGAAAGGGAAGGAGTCGATCGATATAGGCTCGTATAAAATAGGCTTGTCCGTAACTAAATTGCCTATGTGCTAAATGACTCATTAATTTGTCGTTTACTTTTGTTCTCTTATTACGAATAGTTATTGATGATGAATCTCTGAACGAGTAGGTTATTCGAATCAGTTAACAGAACGATCACTTGCCCGATAATTGCATTTCGAACCAAAACAGATATCTCCGACTCTCTAACTTCTTTATTCTTGCTTGTTTATCGTCTTTGCTTGAAGTTTCACTTTATTTTGTTTGAATTCTTCGTAGTTGATAATCAAACCTAAACTATCTTGATTAGAGTGTTTAGGATTATTTTCTCATTTTCTGTCGAATATACGTGCAAAACATTCCGGCTAACCTTGCTTGAGAGATCGACTCGGAAAACGAATCTTTCAATTCGTTACTCGGTAAAAATAACATAATTTGCTACAACACTCCCTCTGAGATGGAATCGCCAAACCTTTCAACGTTACAATGAGATCACGAAACCTTGATCGGTTTCATCATGAGGGCTGATCTTGATTTGCCTAATGAACGAAGATGCCCCGTCGAGCAAAAAAATACGGCGTACAAGGCTACAAGCAAATGATTTCCGAAAAGGAGTAACCTGTACCGATACTGTACCTCTTAATAATGATGGGGAACGCACTCAACTTCTAAAATTATTTAATCAAACTGTGGCTTATAGCCAAAATAAGGCTTATATAAATTGGTAATTGTCATGACTTTACAAAGTAAATGAAATCCAATTTTTATGTTATGTGAAAAATGAGAAATTAAACCATCTTTCGTAGAAGTACATAATTAACTGGACCAATTTTGGTATGAAGTCATCGTATAACACTGACTTATGGAGACATCCATATTTATTCACAAATAGTGTATTGACACATGTCTTACAATAAATATACTTTGGACATGTGTCATTACATTAAGTGATGAATGACTCCATAAAAAAACCATCCAATGGCTCCATAGAATTGTTGTTAACTGGAATTCAAAATGAAAAGTTAACAAGAAAAATCATCAAAGATAATGCCAATCCAGAAGATAAAATCACATTTTCCTCCGAGCAAACCACCAATCAATCAGAAACAAAATAAGATTCATCAGGCCAACATTCTTAACAGTATTACAAAGTCTGAAAACCCTAGTAACAAACAGTTGAACTCGAATTCAAGAAGAAACACACCATTTATTCATCACAACAGACACTGATGAGGCCACGGCTTTTGGCCAGACAACCAAATGGCTTTTCCTGTTTTACCCTCTCACGAAATGGTTGGCAACAAAAGCATTGACTCGCGAGTCTTCAGATATTTTAAGAGATGAAATTGTCTGAGCCGCAAGATGACCAGCCGATAAGCCAACTGAACCCCAAATGTTACCCAAGTATTGAGGGTAAAAGCTTCTGTCCACTCTATTGTCGTTTGAATGTCCCCAGAAATTTGACATTCTCCCATTTCGATTGCTGTTGGTAATCATGCCATCAGTTTTGCATGGATTTTTCGACATATAATAAGAATGGGGCTGTCCTGACCCTGTAATGAAGCCGATGTCGCTAGCGTGATCCCAAGAGGCCAACCCCTTATCCTTTTTTCAGTTTTACAAAAGATCCAAGTAGAAGAGAATTGTCAAGAAACAGGAGAAAAAGTTCATTAATATATGTTTTTAATTCTTAACATTACATGCTGTATTAGCTCAAAGATTTGAAAAGTAGCAAATGATTTAAAGAAAAATGTTAAAATAATCCATAATAATCACTCTTTATGTTGATTCCGCTGCTGAAACAAATTTCTTCAGTACATTGATACATGCATTTACAGTAATCAAGGGAGACGAGAAGCGATAATTTCTCCCCAAACAAATAAATAAATAATATTCCACTTCTGTATATTTGAACTATAAAAATATCATTTAACTTGTGAGTTAAAGCATACTTATGGCTCATTCTACATGCCGTGAGGAATCATCATAAATCATGGTTGGTCTGTTATACAGATTCTTACATATTCTACAGAACCAGGAATTTACTTTTTTCATTTGTAATAAACCCAAAAGTAACAACGCTTTTTTTAAAAAACGTACAAACAGTTTCATACCATTTCCGAGTTATCCACGTCTTCACCGAGTAGGACTTGCAGTGCAACTGCCTCAGCTATTGCGGCCCCTTCTTCATCGAGCCTATCCTGTTCTTCTTTTTTCTTCAGTTTTTTTTTCTCCAGTTCAGAGCGTATGGCTGCAGATGTAGCCAAAGCCTTCTCCAAACGCCTTTTTTTCTTCTCAGCCTGTTTAATCCGATCCGCCGGTTTTTTCTTTGGTTTTCTAACACTAGCTGTTACTTTAACACTCTCCATTATAATTTATATCCAGATGAAATTTTGATTTTCCCTTTTCGTTCCAAAGGAAAAATTTTACTAAGGTGTATACAGTATCTAATTACATGTATGTCCCCTTCTGTGTTCCCATAACTTATAATTCGATACTAAACTAACTTAAATTAAAATATGGAAACTACTTAAATATTTCAATCCTATATACCTACACAACCTCGGGTCTGAACGAATACCTCATTTTTCGGACGCTACATTCCCAAAAAGAAATAACAGGAGACAAAAGAAGTGAAAATTTGTGAGTGCTTAAGTATCTATCGCACATCATTCTTCCTAGTTTTGCTTGAGCCTCGCCACTCATTTCAAAAGAAAAAAGTTAAAGAAGGGATTAAAGACAATCTCATACAACTAGTTCTTTCGCTTTAAAACAGCTCACATGGCTTCCCCACCTGCAACACATGGTGAATAAACTCAGTGACATCTGGCAAAAGTAAAGCATCATAACTCAAGGCCGGTGCCCACCCGACGCAAATGGAACAATTACACAAATACGAAATGCATACAATATTTACATAAACAATCAAACGAACAAATAATTATCATAATATATTGTACAACAAACAAAGAAAATTGCTATGTAATCCACGGGAGAGATTGCCCTGCTGTGTTTAAGTTTCCACATGAAAAGATGATCATATAAGTCCATTTTGATACCAAATTAAAGCACATATCGTCATATAGAAATAAATACAATCAATCAAAATTGGCTAAAATCTTTATTTCTTTAGTTTATTTTCTCTAATCTCACTAAACCACAAGAAGGGATTTTGGAAATCCGACACTAGCTTACACAGTTTCTCATTCACTTCATTTTTCAATAACCAAACCACCAATTCTAGTTTAAAAAAAGAAAAAAAGAAAAAAAAAACAGAGAAGAAATAGCTGAGGTTTATACTACTAGAACCACATGATAACTGATGATTTAATTTATTATACAAAACCATCATCTCAGGCTAACAGTTTGTCGCGGAATCTCAGATCCGCCAATCATACACATAACAGAATTAATCCCACAATTTACACGCCCAAAAACACCCCAATAACTGAACATATGATCTATCTACTCCACCGACATGCCCAAAACTCAATCGCAACAAGAAATAATCTCCTTTACATGTTTCCAGATCACATCATAATCCATAAAGAAATTTTAGGAAACTTATCAACATACATATATCAAATTATTTACACAGAATCGAGCCCAAAAGGTTAAAAACAACGACTTAAACAAACCTGTGACGATACAGATAACAAGAAGAAACGAAGGAATAGGAACGGGAAAAGAAGATGATTGTATTGGACTTTTGAGAGTGATTGGATCTGTAATCAACGTGCGTTGAGAGGGGAGAGAGAGAGATAGGGTACAAAAAGGACTAACGGAGTAGTTAAAAAAGGACTGGTAAAAGAGGAAATATAATATGCAAATATAATACTCCATCCTATTTTAAATATTTGTCATCCTCAACTATCAACACACTAATTAAGAAATATTTTTCTTTTCAAGTTTAACTCTATTTAATGACACAATTGTGGAGGGATGTTCTTGGGAATATGAAGAGACAATGGATATTGATGGAGGGGTTAAAAGGGAAAAATATGAACAAAATAGCCAAAATGATATTTATTTAACAAATGATCAATTAAGCTAGAATGACAAATATTAAAAATAGGAGAGAATACGTTATTGCATGTAATATAATATTGGATTATATTATAAGTTTAATATATAAATAGTATATATTTATACTAAAGATATATATATATATATATATATATATATATGGAATGGTTCCAATGCATCCACTTATTTAAAGTGAGAACGTAAGACTCATTTTTAGTCACAAGATTTGGTACATATCATGTGTGGCCAAGATTTACTCTTTTATTTTTATTATTTTAATTATTTAAATATTATTTTGACCCGTTGACTCCGGCGTTGACCGTTGACTTCCGGCGTTGCCCGTTGACTTTCGGCGTTGACCGTTGACAACTAACCTTCCAAACTAGGTTAGTTCTCGGTAGTTGCTAGTTTAGTTCTCAGTAGTTGCTAGGTTGGTTCTCTCTAGTTGCTAGGTTAGTTCTCTGTAGTTGCTAGGTTAGTAGCTGCTAGGTTAGTTCTCCGTAGTTGCTAGGTTAGTTCTCTGTAGTTGTTAGGTTAGTAGTTGCTAGGATAGTTCCCTGTAGTTGCTAGGTTATTTTTCTGATGTTGCTAGGTTAGTTGTCTGTAGTTGCTAGGTTAGTGTCTTTTGTTGCTAGGTTATTTCTTTCTTGCTGCTAAGTTAGCAGTCTTTTGTTGCTAGGTTAGTTATCTTTAGCTGCTAGGTTAGTTGTGTTTTGTTGCTAGGTTAGTTATTTGTAGCTGCTAGGTTAGTTGAGTTTTGTTGGTAGGTTAGTTGCCTGTTGTTGCTAGGTTAGTTATTTGTAGCTGCTAGGTTAGAATTTTGTTGGTAGGTTAGTTGTCTTAAGTTGCTAGGTTATTTTTTTCTTGCTGCTAGGTCAGTTGTGTTTTGTTGCTAGGTTAGTTGTCTTTTGTTTGCTAGGTTAGTTGTGTTTTGCTGCTAGGTTAGTTGTCTTTTGTTGCTAGGTTATTTCTTTCTTGCTGCTAGGTTAGTTGTCTTTTGTTGATAGGTTATTTCTTTCTTGCTGCTAGATTTTTTTTTTTTTCAACAACGCCCCGGAAGGGCGGGGGATTGGGCTGGATCTCCAACCTGTGCATAGATCAGGGCCCCAAAACCGGGAGCCCAAAATGTCAACGAACCAGATACAGAGGTCTACATAGTCTGAAAACCAAAAACAAAAACAAGAAAAACAAAAAAGAAAAACAAACCAAAAAAAGAAAAAGAAACAAAAAAACTACATGGTAAAGTCGATCTTCGGGCTAACAGATGCCCGAGATAAGTCTATATTAATGAAAATAGAAATCCTATACTAGAGAAAGCGGAACGCTGGGTATCCAAGCTGGTCCATCCGTACAAGAGTGCGAAGGCGGAGTGGAGCAGTGTCGGTCTGGAATGTATGTGTGCCTGGTATGGTGGCGCCAAGGCTGGCCAGGTAATCAGCCGGTCTGTTCCCCTCACGAAAAATGTGCGTGATCCTGTGATGGACTGACTAAAGTAGATCTCTAATGCGCAGAAGCGGGTGCTGAATCTGCCACGAGCCCTGATGGCCCGAAGTCAGGAGGGTGGCGACAGCCGCAGCATCCAGCTCGATCCATATATGACTAGAGATGTGGGCAGCTATCTGAAGGCCAATCTGTAGTGCCTGAATCTCTGCGTCGTAGCTCGAGGAGGCCTGAATGGACGCGTGGAAGGCGGTGATGAGGGCGCCGCTATGGTCCCGAATCAAGCCTCCTCCTCCGGCAACTCCAGTGTGGCGATCGAAGGAGCCATCAGTGTTCAGCTTGACCCAAGGATAGTCAGGTCGAAGCCAAACAACAGCTCTGGCCCGAGGAGTCCCAACAGGCGGTGGTGGGGCCACCATGTAGCGCTGTGGTGGCGTGCAGCCTGTGTGCTTTGTTGTTAGGTTAGTTGTCTTAAGTGAGATTGTGTGCTTTGTTGTTAGGTTAGTTGTCTTAAGTTGCTAGGTTATTTATTTCTTGCTACTAGATTATTTGTCTTTTGTTGATAGGTTAGTTGTATGTTGTTGCTAGGTTATTTATTTCTTTCTGCTAGGTTAGTTGAGTTTTGTTGCTTTTCTTTCTCGCTGCTAGATTATTTGTCTTTTGTTGCTAGGTTAGTTATCTATAGCTGCTAGGTTAGTTGTGTTTTGTTGCTAGGTCTAGGTTAGTTGTATTTTGTTGCTAGGTTATTTTTTTCTTGCTGCTAGGTTAGTTGTCTGATGCCGCTAGGTTAGTTGTATTTTATTGCTAGGATATTTCTTTCTTGCTGCTAGGTTAGTTGTCTTCCCATAGGATTTGAACCTGGTACCTCATGGAAGCAAGACAAGCAATGCAACCACTACATCACTCAAGGTTGAGTGTCTTTTGTTGCTAGGTTATTTATTTCTTGCTGCTAGGTTATTTGCCAACGGGTCAACGCCGGAAGTCAACGGTCAACACCGGGAGTCAACGATTTTCACCGGAAGTCAACGCCGGAAGTCAACAGTCAATGTCGGAGTCAACTAATGATTATTTTATTATTTAATTAATGTATATTTTAATTAATTTTGATCTAGACAAAATGAGTGGCTAAGATTCAGTCTCACGTACTCATTTTAAGGAGTGGTCTCATTGGATCCGTCTCCTATATATATATATATTTCCTCCGTTTTAAAAATGAACATGTTTTTCACACTGTTGAATAAAAGATTAACTTTTTCATTTCAGAAAATATAAAAGCATTATGCGATAATTGTGCGATTGACGTTGTGTGAAAGTTGAAAATGCGAAGGCATTCGCATAATTTTTGCACTTTTTAATGTGAATATGCGACTGATATGCGATAGTTATGTGACAGAAATGTGACAGTTATGCGAACCATTCGAATAACATTTGCATCTTTTGGGTGAAAAGTTAAATTATTATCTAGCTCGATGAAAAACTTAATGTAATCTTCATAACGGGATGTTAAAGAAATTTGTCTATTTATATTTATATTTGTGTATATATATATAAAGAATAATTATTTATCATAAATAACAATAAAAAATCGGGAATCTTAATTGTATTCTATTTTACGTATGTGTAAAAAATTTTCCATTTTATTTTGTTAAAAATTGGGTAGTATTTAAAGTTTCCTTGAATCACGGGTTTGGTTCAATTTATGAGATAAAAGCATCTTCAATGTTTAAGAGTAGTTGTAGTAAATTACACTCTACATTAACATATTTAGCAATTTATTTACTTTTCATATTTATAAATTTTTTATTTTATCCAAGTGGACAATATTGTGTTTGATTATATTGTGCGTTAGAGAAAATTTTTTAGAATTAAAGTTGTGAACCTAACAATTATTTTATGTGGTTCATAATCCATCTATTTAATTGACATTTGTCAAAATTTATGTAATAACAACATGTATGCATTGAAGATGCTCTAAATATCGACTGAATAATGACATGTGCCTTTTTTTAAAAAAAAATATTTTTATTTTACAAAAAATAAAAAAATGGGCATCCTTTAATTCTGCCTAATTATTTAGATTTGCATGGAAAATAATGAACGTATTTCAAAATCAGAAATCACAAAAATGAAGAACATATTGTTACTTGAATCAAACAAACAAATCGATGGTACTATTACATTTATAGTTGCTTGTAGTAGTTCTCCTGAGTGAGATTTCTTCCTTCGAGTGAGGTTCTGTTCTACAAGTGTAGATCCTCACATTTTTCTACCTTTTTGTGTGCTTTTCTCTTTACTTTTGCTCGTTTCTTTCATTTTGGAGTCTATCTACTTGTCGTGTTTCCTTGGTCTTGCTATTCTTCCTTTATTAGTGCTTCTAGCTTTTCCTTTGTTGTGTCTGCTAGGGTTCTGGTGGGTTGTTTAGGGTTGTTTTTCAGTGTGGTTGGCATCTATGTAGACCTTGAAGGTTCTGTTTCCATTCAAGCCAGGGCCGTCTCCAGAAATTTGGAGGCCCTAGACAATTTTTTTCAAGAGAGGCCCGTAATATTTTATATTTTTAAATTTTTTAATTGAACAAATAAAAATAAACATTGTCAATAATAAATACGAGAAAACCATGAATATGAGAAAATTTAGTAAATTAGAATACAAAAACTTACAACCTTCTCGCCTTCATTTGTACAAAATTATCAATCAAGTCACCATAATCAAGTTTCGCAACTATTTTTTTTTTTTCAATGGATAACATCGCCAAACCATTCAATCTATCTTGAGACATAGTTGACCGAAGATAATTTTTTATCAACTTCAGCTTGGAAAAACTTCTTTCAGCAGATGCCACAGTAACCGGGATGGTCAACACTATTCTGTAAGCTACCCAGGCATTAGGAAAACCATGGTACAAATTCTTGATATACTCCAAGACTTCAACTGGTTTGGTTAATCCATCAGGTAATGCTTTTCTCAATAATTGCAACTCCGAAAAGAGTTTGAGTGCATCAATATCAGAATTATCTTCATGTTTCAAAAAGTTCTCAAGTTCAACACATGAATGTTTCAAGCTTTCATCATCCATGTTTTTCAACTTGGCCAAGTTGAATAAAAATCCAAAAATCTCTTCGTACTTTTGAAACTGCACAAACCTTAGTTGGAGAGAAGAAAGAGCATTATCAACAATCGGAAGAAAATAATTTACTCGAAAACATTCTTCGGCCCCCTGAATTGGTTCATCTCGAGCATTTTCATCGAAAAACTTACTTTTGCGACGAATCCGAATTTCACGAAAGGCGGGTTCCACATCCATCTCCGATGCAATCTTTTGAGCTTCAACT